TTTTTTCTCAAATAACATATCAGATCGATCCCAGTCGGGGACGCTGCCCCTCGACTTGATCCCTGAGGACGTTGCCCCCGAGCCCCACAAAGGGCACTGCCCTTGACCCCTGCAACCTGACAGGTCGATCACATTTCGAAGCGGCAAACCATTTGAATAACAACAATAAACAAATAAATAAATTATAAAAAAAAATATTATCTCCAAACTTCCAAACTAATAGTTTTTTTGCCTAATTTGAAGTTTGCTCAACTCTGGTAAAACTTTAGCAATAAAACTTGCCAAAGCTTATCTTATAACGAATTTAAACAACATAATTTTTCTAACCTTTTCTTTAGAATGTCTACATAGTACCTCCTTGAAGATTTTCTTACGATCTATATTTAAGGACTTGTGGATGAGTTGCATATTCCAAAAAGTGAAGATCCCAAGTTAGTAGAGTATATACCTTTATGGAAGTTTGCTAATGGTATGTTTGCTATGGTTCTATCATTATGTCTACTGCTAATTTCTTTAAGAAGTCAGAAAACATGATCGCGGTGTTGTGGAACCAATAAATAAACTCTAAGAAGACCTTATTTTCACCATAAGTCTACTTAGAACAGATGTGCATTTACAATTTCTTATGATTTTCGTTCTCACTATTTGAAACTGACATGTAGTTTTTCATATAGGTTAGCTTCGATGTCTTATAGAAGATTATAGTGTGCCACTCGTGGTTCTGGTTTGGACATTCGTGACTTACATACATGTTGGAAGTGTTCCAAAAGGAATTCCAAGACGTCACTTTAGCCCAAACTGTGTTCACTGAGAGCCTATGAGAACTGGACTATCATTAAGGCATGCATGTTGATTAAATCTATTAATTAAGTGCTTTAGTTCTATATAGAATGAAAACTTCATTGTGAATTCATAATTTAATTGTTGGGTACATGCTAAACGAATCCATTCTTTATATACTTGGAGCTTTTATTTCGGCAACAATGATCGCAGTACTTTATTATTTTGATTATAATGTAGGTTATCAATTGACTGAGCAGAAAGAATTCAATTTCAGGAAGCCATCTTCCTTCCATTACGACTTACTATTTTCAAATTTCGGATATGCTAAGTTCACTTTATTGTGTTCAACACTTCCTATCTATGATTTCATTGTTGAGTTATGATATAATATTGATTTACCATTTGAAAAACATTAATGCGTGGTCTTGTTGGCATTCTTCTATCAAATGGTGTAATCCCTCACCCTAATGCATAAAAATGTCTAGCTACTCTCAGGTCATTTTCCTTTGTGGATTATATTCCTTGCCGCCTTCGTTTTTAATTCTTATTATTAGTTTATCGTTGGTGTCAATAGTGAGTTTTCAATTTTATGAAGATTTTTTTTAACGATGTTTTTCTAATATAGCTGCAGCAAGGCTGCATAGGAATCCAAGTATTTTCAATCTCTAACTTCTTGACTATTGGATATGCTGTTTTTAGGAGCTGGTCCTTTTATTTGATTATATGATTAAAAATGACACAAAATAACAATCAAATTTCTCATTATTAGAACTTTGAACTAATGTAATTAGATTCCTAACACAAACAACTTGAATATAAACAAATAACTAGCTAAAATGTGCCAAGTAAGAGTAATTAACTCTTCATTTAAGCTCCTGAAACATTTACAACCTAATGTAAAAGAAAATCATTGATTATATTTAGTTAAGAATACATTTGTGATGCAATTAATATCAAATGTCCATATGAAGAATCGAAAAGATACATAAAATATAGACGACAAGTGAGTTCATTCGAATTAATTTATGAATATCTTTCATGTTTACGAATGAATTTCTCTAAAATTTACATATATTTATTTTTAACATTAAACAACTAACGTACAACGCATGTTAACCACACTAGTTATCTTAGAAAAGTACCGGCAACCAAAATTGAATCGACTTGACGCCAAAACTAAATCACATCCCTTCACCAAAGACTTCAAATTCATCTATTTAAACCAAAACATAAATAGGACTGATGGGCATACCGTGAAGACGGCTTGAAGAAGAACATGAAATCTGTAGTAGATTAAATCGGAATTTATTGAAGGAAAATCGACAGTGTGCCAATTGAAGGAATTGGGATTGGGGGATCTACAAGAACTTTTGAGGCTAAGCAAATTGGAATTAGGTTTGCCAACAACCAAATCGATGAAATTATTTAAGCGGTAAGGAGGGGGGTAAAAATTTCACAGTAGGATGTGTGGAGAAGACGTGTGTTAGTTATTTGTGGGTTTTTGTAGTATTTGGATTTGGGTTTTGTTACATGTTGTACCTAATGCTCAAGTGAGATTTCATTATTGATCGAGAAAAAAATAGTTTCTTCATCGGTCAATGATGAAAGGTCACTTGGAACATTATATACATCAGTATCTAAACTCTAATCTACACGTACAATAATTCTTTGAATTTTATTAACAAAAAATAATTATTTTTTTATATTTCTTTCCAATTAACTTTTCACTTTAAATTACATTTTGTAGGGATTTAAAATACAAATAGTAAAAATAAAATTTTCCCGCTAATTATGAGCCCACGAAGATGTCAAATATTTTTTTCAGGAAAAGATATATCTTGATCGTTAAACATTTTTGTCTGGAAAACTATAATTTTTTATGGGGCACGAGTCTTCCCACTATTGAAAATTTTGAAGCGAATAGAGCCCTACGCAATGTCATTTTTGTACGAAAAAGTGAATTCCTCCTACAAATCTCAATTTGTTTTCCAAAAGTTTGTAGAGAAAATATAAATTTCTTGTAGTGTAATACTTTTAGGGTTTTAACATCGGTAATAAAGAGTTAGTTGGACGTTATTTAATTACCAGATTTGAGCAAAGAAAAATGTAATAATCAAGTTAGCAAAGTCATTTTCTTTACAATTTATATACTGTATAGTAATGA